AAAGGGGCTATCAACAAAAGTTTTATTGCACTCAAGAGGAGGAAAAAAATTTGCCTTTTTTTGCTTTGTATTCTTTTATTTGATTTCATTTGATATTCTGTCGTCACTTAGAAGCGGAATTGGTGTAACGGGTAACGGGGTGGGAGGTTGGGGGTGGGGGAGGGGGATGGGGTGGGATGGAGTGGGGTGGGATCGAGGGTTAACGGAGTTCAAATATATTTTCAATTTGAAGCTTTCCTTTTTTCTTATTTTATGTTATATCTGTGTGATTTTTTTTTCTTTCTTCTTTTCTTTTCTTTACTGTTTTTTATAGTCTTTATCTTTTTTCTGGAGGTGCTTTCGCTTTCATTTTTAGTGCTGTGTGCTGCCTAAAATGAAAGAAAAACATTATTATTTCACGAGTACTATTTTCGAAAATTTATTGCAAGGACAATAGAAAAGTGGCGACTAAGAAAACAGTCGAATTTTAAGGGAGGAAAATTTTAGATCTTAAAGTAAACAAAAATCGTGTATTGTTTTGTACCGTTCTAGCAGCACAAAGAAAGAAGAAAAAAAAAAGAGAAAGAATAAAGCAAAAAACGAGAATTTTTTTCCTGTTCAAATAACAATAACAACAATAACACCGTCATCATCATCATCAGTAGCAACAGCGACAGAAAAAAAAAAGGTTACACGACAGTTATTTATGATTGTTAATTTTTGTTTCATCTTTTTTTTTCCTGTGAATTCACGAACTTTGAAAAAAAAAACACTAGAAGGTGAAGAAAACAAAAAACAAATTTTCAAAACTGTAGCAAAATCAACAGTAGGGAGGATAAGAATCTTCACCACCAGTAATAGGGACTGATGCCGACAGATGTTTAGCGGTACGGCTGAATTTAACACAGTTTAGCTGTGGATTACCGTTTTGATGTATCTGAATGGTAGTTTTGCAAAAAAAAAAAAAAAACAAGTCACCAGTCTTTTTTTGAACTGTTCCATTACCAAACAATTCAAACATTTTCAAATCAAAAATAAAATTAAAAAAGCTTTGGGAATTTACCTTTTTCTTTGAACTAAGAAGCGGAAAAAACGTCAACGAGCCTTTGACCGATTTAGATCAAAAACTTAACTCCTTGTCTGTCCACAAAAAGTTGTAGAGCTCTCCATATTGAAACAAGTTCCTTTTTTTTTTACTTCTGTGAATAGTGATCCACGGTCTACGTGCTTTCAAAATCACCGAAATTTTACACATAACCCCATGTGCACTACTTTTGGTCTTCACTCGTTCATTGTCATCCAAAAAGCAACAACAATAGCAACACATCTGTACCAAGTGTGTTTCTTCGGTTCAAGATAAGCAACATTTTTTGAACCTTATTTATTGCTGTGAAATATTTACGGTGTGACAGGAACATGATTAATTTAATAATTGGATATTAAATTTTTTAGATGCTAGGCTGTTGAATCCATGGCTTCCGGCCTCTCTATTGTATCCGGGATGGGCAGCCTTAGGCGCCGGCTCAACACCGTCTCCATTAATGGACTTTTCAGCTGCGGCAGCAGTTGCTGCAGCGGCAGCTGCCGTACCAACAGCAAATAATATTGCCAACAGCGCAGCGCTTAATTCCACCATCCACGATGCACTATTTGGCAGTAATTCAGCATGTAATCCCAACAACATACCACAGATGCAGAACCCTTTCTGTAATCCACCGACAGCACATCCGAGTTTTTTTGAAGCAAGACGTTTTAGTGAACCAACTCCGTCTCCACATAATTTCAATATTTCGAGAAGAAAAAGTCGTGACGGTTAGTGACACAGCTGTGAAGTCTCCAGTTTTTTTTTTTTTTT